ATTGGATGGGATAATAGGTAGATTAGTGTGAGCTTATACTAATAATAATACTGAGTAATAGTGAGAATACTTGTGAACTATTATTTATAGACAATTTACATTGATATAGATTCTTGTATATTGATACAAATTCAAATTATATTTGTTATAGTGAATATACTCCTATTTCTGTTTACAGTATTTATGCACCTATGAAAAGTCATTTTGTCATATTGTATGCATGCATGATTCTACCTCCGCTTAAGACATTTTGTATATTGATACAATTTTAGGATATATTTATCATATTGTAACATACATTTCTACCTCTGATCAAGATGCTTATACATTGTTTACATTTTGAAGTCATTGTTCTCATTTTCTGCAATTTGTTTAAAGATTAATGTTTTAAAATGAAGCCTTAGTCTTTAAAATATATAGGTATTAAGAATTATAGGTCAGCAGCCTTCGGAGATCCCGTGGATCTGTGTCTTGCTTGAATAGTGTTTGGACGGAACAGACCCGGGGCCTCCCTTTGTTAGCTTCCTTGAAAACCATCTGTAGCCGCAGCCTCCGGGACCATCACCTCGCCGCCTTCAGCTCCCAGGACCAGCTAGCACCGTCTCTTTGCGGGTAGCTCCAGACTGCGTCTCAACCATGACCTCCCAGATTCGTCAGAATTATTCCACCGAAGTGAAGGCTGCCGTGAACCGCCTGGTCAACCTGCACCTGCGGGCCTCCTACACCTACCTCTCGCTGGGCTACTATTTTGACTGGGATGACGTGGCTCTGGAGGGTGTAGGCCTTTTTTTCCGCGAATTGGCCTAGGAGAAGCGCGAGGGCGCCGAGCATCTCCTCAAGTTGCAGAACGATTGCGGAGGCCATGCACTCTTTCAGGATGTGCAGAAGCCATCTCAAGATGAGTGGGGTAAAACCCAGGAGGCCATGGAAGCTGCCCTGGCCTTGGAGAAGAACTTGAACCAGGCCCTCTTGGATCTTCATTCCCTGGGCTCTGACCGCACAGATCCTCATCTCTGTGACTTCCTTGAAAACCACTTCCTGGATAAGGAGGTGAAGGTCATCAAGAAGATGGGCAACCACCTGACCAACCTCTGCAGGTTGTCTACTGGGCCCCAGGCTTCTCTGGGCGAGTACCTCTTTGAGCGGCTCACTCTCAAGCATGACTAAGAGGCCTCTCCTTTCGAGGGGCTCTCACCTCTGCTCTGCACCAGCCCGCCTCAGGACCTTCACCCTAACCTCTCAAGAAGCCACTAGGCAGCTTTGTAATGCCCTGGAGCCCCTCTCAAGTTTTGGACCAAGTAAAAATAAAGCCTTTTGAAGCAGCAAAATAAGTAAATAAATAATAAAAAAATAAAGAATTATAGGTCAATAGTCATCCATGTTTGTTATACGTATAGTTAGACTAATCAGGTTCTTTAGATGTATAGAGATTATATTTAACATAGATAGGTAATCTTCAACCACTTCAAAAAAACCGTAGAATATGGCATTTAAATAATTTAGGATTCTGTTGATGTGAGACACGATTGCTGCTGGAAGCACTGATCTATTCCTGAGAAAATGTTGGGCACCGAAGACACTCCACTTGGAGCTTGTTTTCTTCTGGGCAAAACTAGTCTTTGGGCAAAGAACTGCCCCTACCTCTACCAGTGACAAAATGCATGGTGTCACTTTGGGTGATTGCCCAGTTGCCTCTGGCTACTTTTAAAAGTTGCTTGATTGCACTTCCTGTTTACTCAAGTAATATTATCCCCCTTCTCGGGTTTTCAATGGGGTTGAAGACTAGATAGTCATAGTTACTTTCCTCTTATGACTTTGCCAAGACATTTCTCATATAAGACTTAGACTCCTTGGGATAAAATAACTATTAAAACATTTAGTATATGTTTCTTGATTGATGTTGTTCATGCTGAATGTATTCTAATTTTTATACTTGATATTTGTTCTTACGGTATATAGTTTTGTATTAGGCTTAAACTCTTTTATTTAGATAAGAGAGGGAGGTGCTGTGGGAACTCCTTCAGCCAATAGCCTTTAAGATACTGGCCAACTTCAGGTGAGGCCTTATGCACTATATATGCAGATGTGAAGTGTGCTAGGGTCTCTTGGTCGCTGGATTCAGTTCCAGTTCCCAGGGCACACAGAGAACTGCAGATTGCTACCCTTTTTCTTTATCCCCAAATAAATAAACCTTTGTTATACTTCATTCCAGGCTAGTGTAGAAATCTTTCATACTCTAACAGTTTTAACTATGTATACAGTAAACAGCTTATGTCTAATAACAAAAGGGGAGAGCTCTGGAAATTAAACAATCAAAATCAGCTTTATAGACAATGGGCATAAGACAATGATAGAAATTTAGCCAAGGAGATTATAAATGACAAATACTTAAAAGATGTCCAACATTGGACTCTCTGAACGTGGCTGACAATGAATGCTGACTGAGAAGCCAAGGACAATGGCACTGGGTTTTGACCCTACTGCATGTACTGGCTTTGTGGGAGCCTAGTCTGTTTGGATGCACACCTTCCTAGACCTGGATGGAGGGGGGACCTTGGACTTCCCACAGGGCAGGGAACCCTGAGTGCTCTTTGGACTGGAGAGGGAGGGGGAGGGGAAGTGGGGGGATGGGAGAAGAAAATGGGAGGAGGTGGAAATTTTTAATAATAATAATAAAAGAAAAAAAATTTAAAAAAAGAAGAAAAAAAAGATGTCCAACATCATTAGCCAGTGAAGAAGTACAATTTGAGCCAGACAGTGGTGGTGCATGCCTTTAATCTCAGCTCTCGGGAGGCAGTGGCAGGCGGAGCTCTGTGAGTTCGAGACCAGCCTGGTCTACAAGAGCTAGTTCCAGGACAGGCTCCAAAACCACAGAGAAACCCTGTCTCGAAAAACAAAAAATGAACAAAACAAACAATCAAAAAAGAAGTATAGTTTGAGACCAGGAAGACACGGCATTCTAGGATGCAAACAGTGTGAAATGCAGCTGGGTGGATCACTGCATTCGGGAGCTCAAGTCACAAGGATGGAGCTTGAGGCCAACTGGGGTTAACGCCATGAGCTGAAGGCTAGCCTGAGCTTCTACAGAGTGATGCTACCTCAAAAAGCAAAAGAGTAAGAAATAATACTTCCATCCTAGAAAATACGACATAAATGTTTCATACTGTGGACTGCCACTCAGCAATCAAAGGAACAAACTCCAAATCAAACAGCAGACCTAGGAAGCCACAGACCAAGATTCTACACACTCAGCATTCTCAGAATCTCAAAAGATGGAGATCACAGATGGTGAGGTGAAGGCTTGAGTGACCAGGAAGGATCTTAGTAACCGTGTGTCGCCAAGAAAGTCAGCTGCCCTCCCTGAGCTTCAGTCTCCAGTTCCGTAGAACGATCATTACCAGTTTTTCTTCACAAACCTCGGTTGTTTGGGTTTCATCTTGCGAACTCTTTGCCAGGCCATCTACAGCCTGATGTTTCGTGTTTTTCCCAGAGATCACCCCGCTTTGCCAGCCTGAATGGTGTTATGTAAAATAGCACCAGATCTAGGCTCTGATTTGTCCTCCTGTGAGAATTAAACATGCTTTTCTTTGCTACCTACAAATCACGCTGCCAGCGACACCAGCACACCCCAGGGGCATGCCATCCAGCCCAGATACGTTTCAGGTGGAGAAAATGAAGTCAGATTTGAAATATCACTTAAAAGTAACCCTGGCCCCATATCTCAGCCAGAACGAATCCCATAAGGCCATGTAAGGTCCGATGCAGGTGGCCCTGCCATTTCTGGGATCTCAGCCCTTTCCTGCCTTGGGGCTCGGTCCTCTCTGTTCTCTCTGCCTGGAAAACTCTATTTAGATGAGTCAAGTCCTCGGGACATTCAGGTTTCATTTAATGTCACTTCCTCATAGACTCCTTTCTCAACTACTCTGCCTAAAGTAACTACACATGCCACACCACACACACACACACACACACACACACATTCACACCATGTCACACCACACACACATCACAAACACATGCACACCATGCCATACACACACCTCACACATACATTCATACCATATGCACTATATATATTACACAGCACACACACGCATGTGCACACACACACACACACGAGCTGTCACTCAGCTTGTTTCTGCCCTGCTCACCCCTTGACTCTGCACGTGGTCTGCGGGATATGAATAAAGGTCACACATTGCTTATTCTCCATCTTCTTCCCCCTGCTTTTTATTTATTTGGATACAGGCTCTTACGTAGCCCAGGCTGGCCTTGAACTCACTCCACAATTGAGGATGACCTTGAACTTCTGATCCTCCTGCCTTCACCTACCTCCCCTGTCCTGGAATGGAGCTGAAGGTTGGGCTTCTGCCAGGCCAGCTCTGTCAACTGAGCCCCATCTACAGCCCACCTGCCTGTCCAGCCAATGCTTTTTAAAAGAAATCCTTTTGTTTGACAATTTCACACACGTAAACAGTGTACCCTGATTCTACCCACCCCAGCACCCCTTCCCACACACACCCTGCACTCCAACATGACCTCCACCTCTCCCTTTCTATTGCTATCTATTATTGCTGACCCTATGAGTCCAGTTGGTGCTGGTGTTGAAATACTGCCCAAGATTAGCAGCACCTGCTCCGCATGCGCTGGGCACACAGAGATAACCTAGTCTGCCCCTGCAGGGCTCTCAGTCTCACAGTTGTCCCTTGAGGCCACCAGTATGTGGGACAGTAAGCTAGAAAAACTCAGCTCCACCCGTGGCAAACATGGGGCAGAACCAGGCAGGAGAGCGGCAGGGAAGACTTCTTGGGGGCCTAGATCCTCACTGTCCACAAAGCAGCAGGCTTGCTGGCCCCTTGCCAGAGGGATTCCAGAGCTGACCCTGCACACTGCATGAGTCACTTTCAGTGGTGACCTGTAGAAGGCAGTCCGGGTGATGCAACTCTCTGCCAGCCTCGGATTTATTGCCCGTGACCAGGCCCTACCTCGGTCATTAAAACCAAAAGCAGTCGGAATTTTCCCAGCACTTTCAGCATGCTGCTGACTCGCTCCTCGGCCCTCTCAGGACACATTAAGTTCTGGTTTCTGACCTTAGCTGTCCTTGTGGTCCTGGCTCAGACTTCCCCAGGTAACCAAGCGGTGGTGAGAAGGGGAAAGGGAGTTCCACGCTACCCTTTGGGAAAGCGGGAGCTGCTGAGGTCTGCTGAGAGAGAACCATACTGTGCCTGTGTCTTTGGGACTGGATCTAGCGTGGTGGTAGAGTTGCTTGGGGAACGTGTGAGGCTCTAAGTTCACCCTCCAGTGCTGGGAGGAAAGAGGGGAGGGAGGTAAGAGCAGATGGATGGTGATAGGGAAGAAAGAAGGGAGGAGGAGGGGAAGAAGGAAGGGAGGGAGGAAGGAAGGAAAAAAGGGAAGAGGGGGTGCTAGGAGGGAGGAAAGAGAGAAGGGAGGGAACAGAGGAGAGAGGGCGAGAGGTGAGCAGTAAGGCAGGAGGGAAAAGGGTATACGGGAGGAGGGAACAGAGGGAGGTAGGAGGCAACAGGAGGCGGGAGAAGAGAACAGGAGGGTGGAGGGTGCCAATGTGCTTTCCTGTGGGCTGCCTGTGGCCAAGGTGATGCTTCTTTTTAGGGTGGCTGGGGAATGCAGGCACAGAGAAAGCAAGTGCCTCGAGGTAGCCATCGATCATCAGATGTCTTCCTTAGTCACGCTCCACACAATAATAAGATGATCGTTAATTATTATTTGGGATAGTGTCTCACTGTATGGCCCTGATTGTCCTGGAATTCGCTTTCATTGAAACTCAGAGATCCACCTGCCACTGCCCTCCAAGTTCTGGGATTTAAAGGCGTGCCCACCATGCCTGGTACTACCTTATTTTTTGAGACAGAACTCTCTCTAAACCTGGAACTCGGAGATTGGCTAGATTGGCTGGCCAGTAGACCCAGAGATCTCCCTGGTCCCACTGCCCCAGTGATGGGGTTACAGATGTGTGCTGCTGTGCCCAACTTTTATGTGGGAACTGACAGCCTCGACTCACATCCTCATACTTAGGTAGCAAGTGCTTCGCCGGCTGAGTCAGCTCCTCACCCCAGCTGCATCATTTGCTGCTGGGTCAACCTTGCCAGGTGAAGGTCTTTGTCAATCATTTGTTGTTGCTCTAGAGAAAGGGGGATGGGAAGAAGAAAAAATCCATTCTTGATTAGCACTGATGGCAAACTGGGCTAAATTCTGGAGAGAACAATTGAGGCAGAGGAGGGAGCTGCGGCTATGAGACAGTTCAGAGAGTGCCAGTGCACGGGCTCATGGGATACATAAGTGGAAAGGGAAGTTGAAATGAACTTGATTTTCCGGTTTGAGTGTCCTGATGAGAGAGAACACTAGCTTACCTCCCAGGAGAGAACTTTGGGGGAAGACAAGGAGAGAGAATTTGTAATTTACATTGGGGTCTCAATACCCCCGGAACCCAACCCACCGTTCTCACGGGCCCACCCGCCGACATCCTCAGGATATACGGGTGTGTCCTCCTCACATACTTCAGGATTCCTCTCTGCTCCCTTTGACAGATGGGTGGCTGAGAACGTGCTATTATGGAATGGGCAAATGCAGATATGAATGCAGGACAACTGAGAAGAAGAAAGAGAGATGTGGGGACTTAACTTTTTGCTGTATCCAAATAGCAAAGTCGAAACTATATCACTTGCCTCCAGTCAAAGACCAGTCAAAGAAAGGTATGTATCATGTCGGACTCCCAGCCTGAGTGTTCAACAGTCATCAGGTCAAGTAGGGACACGTAGATCCCCTGCTCTAATCTTCAGGCGCTGCTGGGCTGCAGAGGGCTCATTAATCCATGTTCATTGCAAGGAGTCTGAGGTACAGAGCTGTAACAGGGCATCTACATAAGCCAGCACCCAGTGTTGGCTTTGACCCCAGGGCATCTACATAAGCCAGCACCCAGTGCTGGCTTTGACCCCAGGGCATCTACATAAGCCAGCACCCAGTGTTGGCTTTGACCCCAGGGCATCTACATAAGTCAGCACCCAGTGTTGGCTTTGACCCCAGGGCATCTACATAAGCCAGCACCCAGTGTTGGCTTTGACCCCAGGGCATCTACATACGCCAGCTCCCAGTGTTGGCTTTGACCCCAGGGCATCTACATAAGTCAACACCCAGTGTTGGCTTTGACCCCAGGGCATCTATATAAGTCAGCATCCAGTGTTGGCTTTGACCCCAGGGCATCTACATAAGTCAGCACCCAGTGTTGTCTTTGACCCCAGGGCATCTACATAAGTCAGCACCCAGTGTTGGCTTTGACCCCAGGGCATCTACATATGCCAGCACCCAGTGTTGGCTTTGACCCCAGCACTGAGGGGAAGGAGTTCATGTCAGCCTTTAGCCCATCGTCTAGCACTTTTTGGGTTGGATAACATAACCAATAATGTCAGTTGAAAATATTGGTTCTTATAGCACAAGAACTTGGTGGCATCTAGTTCCTGGATCCCCGAGACTGTGAGCAGAAGCTCCCAGTCCCTGAAAGTTTCCAGGTGTAAACTGCACCTTGGCTGCAGATTCTTACGTGATGTCTCTTCCTAGAGAGACAGGATGAACCAATAGAATCCAGAAGATCCCGTCTTCCCTCTCTAGCTTAATGCTTTGCCCCACGCTTTGCTAGATGGCCTTTCAGTCCCAAAGCCCATAGTCACAGAGGACTGCCCAAAGATGGTCGGTCGTATCCAGTGACCAGGAAGCAGCCACTCCTGCCCCAAGAAGACGGGAGGTGAAAACAGTAAAAACAACAGACAGCTTAGCCTATTCTAAAATCTTTATTATGTGCAAGGAATAAATACGATGCCCCTTAGCCAGAAGAGGAAATGAAGTTTGAGGAGGCAGGACAGTCCTTCCAATTGCTTCTCAATGCATTTCCTCATCTGTTTACATCACATGTTCCCTCCTCCACTGTAATCCTACAAGGAGGAATTTCACAGATGTCCTTGGGACATCTAGCGTGTGGAGCCACCACGACCTGAGTGCACCTGCTAGGTCTCAGGGTTGGGCCTGGTTAGCACTTGAATGGCAGAGCAAACAAGAGACTGGATCTTGGGTTTGTCCATCTCTTAGGGAGATGCAGTGGTGGAATAGCCCAGCTAGGCTAGGGAAGTGGGCCAGGTTCCCCCAGACACTAAGGAAATAGCTAGAGTTGTCCCTTGAGGTGGAGGCTTTATTGAAATCACCAACAGGTGAATACAGTGACAATGCATGGGGCAGAGGACCCTGCCAGGGTCCAGTGACAGCAGGGTGAACTATTGGTATGGGACACGGAGAGGAGCTCCCAGGTTAGAGGTGCATGCCTTGACCCCATCCTTGCCTCTAGTCATTGTGTCCAGACTCCAAAGATGCATCTAACACTTGCATGCTCAGTTTCCAGTGTTCTTTGGGGTGCTAAGGTCCTTTAGGATATGTACTGGGCACCCCAATCTTGTCCTATCCTTAGTGTCCTTCTATTCTTGTCAAGATCCTTGGGAACAAAAAGATGTTTTGGACCCATGTCATTGGGTATCCTGCTCTTCCTAAGGAGTACACACTGTGCCAACATGTCTCCAGACTCACAGTTACATAGAAGTGAGGAGGATACGGAGGAAATCTGGACACGTCTGTAGGGCAGGCTAAGCCTCCTTACCAATTGTGTCTTTGGCTCATCTCTGAAATGGAAGTACAATGGTATTGTTCGGGTGGGCCCTAATGCTGTATGATGAATGTTCTCATGAGAGAAAGTTCAGACCTAATTGTTTGCAAATCATTGTGACACACAGAATGCTAAGACCCAGGAAGACCCTGGTCATCGGCCAGCCAAGGAGAGATGCCAAAGAGAACCAGCTCTACTGATATTTGCACTTTGGACTTTGTCCACAGAATTGTGAGAAAATAAACTCAAGTCACCCAGTTGGTGGTACTTTTTAATGACAGCAATTAAACGAATGCAAACACCCTGTGGCAGTCATGTCCTAAATGCTGCCCTGAAATCCAAATCTGAAAGTTTTAATTTTGCTTTTACAAATTTCCAAAGTGGGACTGGGGAGATGGCTCGATTGGTAAAGTGCTTGGTGTGTAAGCCTGAGGGCCTGCATTTGACTCTCAGCGCTCACTTAGGAAAGCTGGGTGCTTTCAGTCCTGGTGTTGGGGCGCAGGATGGGAGACTCACTGACTAGCCAGCCTTTCTCAAGTGTTGAGTTCCAGACTTGTGGGGGACTTTGTCTCAAAAAGGAATTACAAGGTGGCTTGTACCAGGTTTTATTCTTTGGAGCCATCAGCCAGCTCCAAAATCATAACATGGAGACTTCTTATAAGTTATGAATGCTTGGCCTAGCGTAGGCCCCATTTTGGATAGTTCTTTTAACTTAAATTACCCTGTTTCTCTTTATCTACTTTTTGCCTTGAGCTTTTTATTGTTTCTTTCTTCTGTGTATCTTATTCCTACTGTCTCTATATCTGTCTATCTGTCTGGCAGCCTCCTGGCTTTTGGCCCCAGGCATGCATGTCTCCCCTCACTCCTCTTCTTCCTCCTCCTCTCCCCCTCCCCCTCCTCCTCCTCCTCCTCTTCCTCCTTCTCCTCTTCCTTCTCCTCCTCCTTCTTTCTCTCAAGCCTAGATCCCTCCTCTTATTTATCTACTCTGCCTGCCTAGCTATTGACCATTCAGCCTTTTATTAGACCAATCAGGAGCCTTGGGCAGGCAAGGTGAAACAAACACACCACATCTTTTCATAATTAAGCAAATGCCGCAGAAACAAATGAAACACACCTTTACATTGTTAAAGTACTTTCCACAACAGTGGCTGGCACCTAGTCAACAGCACTGCTCTGTTCTGGTTTGCCTTCTGCTGCTACAGTATCATCAGCACCACCACTAAGAGCAACTTGTGGGGAAAGAGTGTCTTTGGTTTGCAGACTCCAGAACACTGTTAAGAGAAGCTGCACTCAAGGCGAAGAAACCCTGGATGAATGTTGCTTGCTTCCAGGCTCACTTTCAGATTCCTGGGTCTTGAGTTTAACCGTGTCAGCACGCATCCCTAAATCTGAACACTACACCCCAGAAAACCACCTTACAGTTTCATTTACAAACAGACAAAAAGAAAGGGGAAATAAGCCAGGCCCGGGAGATGGCTCGGTGGGTAACGCACTTGCTGTTTAAGCGTGAAGACCTGAGTCCAGATCCCCTATATTCATATAAAAGCTGGGTATGGTGGCACATGTCTGTCACCCAGCATCGGGAAGGTGGAGATAGGTGGCTCCCTGGGGCTGGCTGGTCAGCCCATCTAACTGACACAGCAAGCTCACGGTTCAGTGAGAGGCCTTGTCTCAAAACTAAGGTGGGGATGAGGGAAGGGTGAAGGGTAACTCACGGGAGAATGGGCCACTCAAAGGCAGCTGCATCACCAGATGCCCACCCAAATGGGCAAAAGTTCACAAAACCTGGAACTCTGGAGCTCTCAGTGTTGCCAGTTAGGGCTCTTGGGTCAGGTTCCTTTTCTCCACTGACTGAAGAATGAAAAAGCAGGAACTAAATAATTGTCCTGGAGAGCTAAGAAGTCTGAAGCAAGAGTGCGTGCGCGTGCGCGTGTACACACACACACACACACACACACACACACACACACACGCCTCACAAGTGAGGAGGGGATTCAGCAGCTGAGCTCTGTCTCTTTGTAGAGGGCTGGGGGTCGGAAGTGCTTCAGGTGGCCTGAGATGGTCCTCCTTTCCTCATTTTGGATCAGCTAGTCTGAACAAAGGAGAACAGGATGATTGGTTCACACTCCTGTCCAGGGCCTGCCTGGGACATGTCTGGGCAGGTCAGCTGCAAGAGTGCCCACCATATTAGGGGAAGTGTCAAGGAACTCTGCCAATATTTGTCCTGGGTGAAGAAGAAGCGGGAAGTATGCCATATTGTTTATTTCTGATGTCTTTTCCTATCTGCCTGCCTATCAGGGTACTATCTGGCCCCCATATTCTCTCATTTACTCAACTCACAGGAAAATTGACAAGTCAGAGTGTCTCTTCAATCTCTTTACTGCTTATGTAACCTTGTGGGGGTGTCTTGTGAATCTGGTACATTTCAGGGACTTCCTGAGACTTCTGAGTTGTTCACTACCTGAGTCTTAAGCCTTCTTTTTAAACTTCTCAAGGAGCTTCCTCCAAGGATGTTTCAACTTGGCAAAACTGCTAGGCAGGTAAGATAACTGCCCGAGAAGTGGGCATAATGCAAAACATGTGTCCTGGAGTAACAGCACTTGGGCTTTAAAGCAGCCTCTTGTTTAAAGTCAGTGATTGCCCTGACCAGTGGCAGCCATGAACAGAGAGAGACACACATGAGAAGGAATGCGTTTTTATGAGAGAGCCTTTCAGATCATAGAAGAAATTACTACAGGAAGGGATGATGCTTGACTCAAACTTGAGAGTAGCTTGAAGCATTTGTGGTGGGCAAGCGGAATTCCTTCACAGAGTTAGAAACTGGAAATTTACGTAGGAAATTTGAGGCAGCATTTTCTGTTGTTTGGGCAGGTTAAGTATTGGATCTCGTATTTCTCACAGGAATTTCTGCATACGCCGTGGTAAAGTTCACATGGAATCCAAGGACTCTTGCTGATGCGGAATCCGAACAGGCCACCTGGGGAAGACATAGCCATGTTTAGTTTCCGTACAGTGGCGATGTCAGAAGTGAGGAATTGTTACTGAAATGAAATAGTCCCTTTGAGCCCAGGCTCCAGAATCAAAACATCTGGAGTCAGACCTGAGCTCTGTTCTTTTCTAGCTCCTTGCTTACACGGCTTCCTTCAAGCCTCTGGCCCTCCACTGTACCATCTTTACAACGGAAGAACCAACAGGGCCAAGTCCCTAAGGGTTTTGTGATGATAAAATATCACACATGGAACATCCACAAAATCATCAAGCATTTAATAAGTAATTAAAGGTTACTTTATTATATAAGTATATACATTATAAATATTATGTGAATTACTAATGTAATTAAATCACTTATTGTAATTAAATATATGGCACCATTAACACGAACATTTTTCTTAAAGCCTTGGATCCATGCACTGCCACCCTGGGTACACATTGGACATGTTCTTTGTGCCTCTAATGATCCAGAAACACACGTTTGGACCGAGGGGCAGGCATCACTGGATGCCGTGAAACAGGCACGAATGTGTTCCCCACATGTCTCTGTGCATGTCCCCCAAAGAAACAGGTGCAGTGTGCGCATAGCCACACACTGGTGACAGACTCGTGGGTCCTACGGATTTTCCTCAGGGAGCCACACTCACACACACGCTCAGTGAATGCAGCTGTTCTCACCACATGAACCTCTTCCACACACACATGTTCCGTGTGGCTAAAGCCTGCCTTGATAGCTGCATACTGGTCATCCAGCAGTGTGCAGAGCATCCAGGCTCCGTGACTGAAAACCCCAAAGTTCATGGCACACAGTTGGCATTTTCTAAGTACTAGTCAACAATTGGCTCTTACAACAAAGGAGATGTGAGAGAAAAAAAAAAAACCACAATACAAGCATTCACTGCTGTTGAAGTGTTTATCTAATTATTCTTTATTAATAAAAAAAATTGGGAGTCAGATATGGGGTAAGAACCCAAATGATCAGAGAAGCCACCAGTGACCCCCCTCCTCCATTCCTCAGTCCCAGAATGATTGAGATCCCCTCAGCCCTGCCTTACTCCTTCCTGTCTCCTATCTGTCCTCAGTCTGCCCTCCAACTCAAAGTAAAGTTTATTGTCAGAATGTGATCAAAGTATCACTCAGCATGGCATCTCCTTTGTGTGACGATTTCTCGAGTGACACCACAGAGAACTGTAGTGGCATTTCATTTGTATTTTAATAAATAAAGTTTGCCTGAATATCAGACAGTAAAACAGCCCCAGTGGTCAGATTTACAGATCAGGCAGCGGTAACACACATCTTTAATCCCAGTAGCCACACTAGTTGCCATAGAAACCAGGAGGTAGTGATACATGCCCTTAATCCCAGCCCTAGAGAGGATTATAAAACAGGAGGAGACAGCTCTCAGTCAGTCTCATTCTGAGATTCCTGGAGGCAGGATCGCCATTTTGGACTGAGGTCGAGGTAAAGAGTCAGTGACCTTTAGGTTGAACCTTAATTTCTGCCTGTGAGTTTTTTATTAAATGTGCTTCAGAGAACCCTCATAAAAACCTACTGTGACCCCCCCCACCATTTGATGAAAACACATAGGCTCAAGATGAACTATATATATTCAAATGTCCGTAGCTTGTTCTTGCCCACATAAGTGCTAAATTGGGGGGTGCGGGATAGCTAACTTCCTGTGAAGTTAGATTCCACAGGAGTCTGTGGGTCTCAGGGATTGAAAACAGGGTGTTTCGGATCTCCATGGCATCAAGCCCATGCTCACTGCTCTCGGACTGAAAACAGGTTGTTTCGGACCCCCATGGCGTCAACCCCTTGCTCCCTGCTCTCGGACTGAAAACAGGTTGTTTCGGATCCCCGTGGCATCAAGCCCGAGCTCCCTGCTCTCCAGCTCACACCCCCTCTCTTTGCAAGGATTCCACAAGTCGCATCTGCATCATGTGTGTGGGGATGAGGCTTCAACAGTCAGTCTGACAGGCCTAGCTTAACATTCAAGTCCCTGTCCAGCCTTCTACCTTTTCCTCATCTTACACATGGGCCAGGTACCCAGCTGGGACCATGCTGAAGTCTCCAGTTCATAAATAAAAATGGGCCAGCTGCATGGCTTAGTGAGTAAAAGGTGCTTGCTGCCAAGCCTGACGACTTGTTTTCTATCCCTGAGATCACAGACCCCTGCAAGTTGCCCTCCAACTTCCACACACGCATGGCGGCTCATATGCCCACACTCCCACACCCAAAATAAATGAATAAATAAAACCAATTCATTGTTAGCATTGATGAAAGTGAGACAGTGATAGTCTGATGTGATTTATTTCATAGAAAAGAGGAGGGCTTTGCCTTTAATAAAAAAAGAACAAGGAGTAAAACTTTACAAGTTGAGTTGAATATGGAAATCTGAATATTTCCAAAGAGGAAATAATAAGAAAAAAAATGGCTTTGGGGCTGGTATCCTGCAGAACCTGGGCCCTGGTGAATGTGTGAGGATCCTTGCATACGAGATGCCACATCACCTAGCCTGATGGCTAGTGAGAGCGAAGGGGGAAATGGCTCCAGGACACTTGACCACAGTTGTCCCCTGGCTTCCACATGGATGTCCATGAACACACACATAAATAAACAGATGTGATAATCAATGCTTTGCAAAGTCCTGTAACATAAGGGAAATCGCCAGCAAAGTGGGAAGGCAAGAATTTCTGTCTCCCATGAATCTGTCTCCCCGGAGGTGTTGGGAGCCAGACCAATCCCGGGCTCTCCTGAAGACCCTGAAGAAAGCTCAAAGGGTTTGAGTGCTTGCCCAGGGGTGGACGTGGCAAGATCTGGGTTGGGGCTGGGGTCAGGGCCTCCGAGGAGTTATGGTTTTGGTTCCTGGGACCCACTTTCCCCACTGAAGGGCTGTGGTTATCAGTACTAAGTCAGCTGTGTCTGAGGGAGCCTGTGTTCTCTTTGCCAACATTGCTTGAGTTAGCTTTCTGCTGACCTTGGTCCTTGTCCCCCCCTAAAAGCAGGATATAAGTGGCTGCACTTCTTAGAAAACTTGCTTGGCATAAGACAGCTTATGCAAGACCTCTGACCCAGCTTTCCCATCTTTGTCTCATCTCCTGGCCCTCCTGCTTAAGACCCTGTCACTGAAGAATGACCTGCTGGTCCAGGTTGCAGAGGGTGGCTGGGGATGTAGGGACTGAGGACTAGAGATCAGATGAGCCGTTATGTCTTAGTCTCTGCTCTTCACCGTCCCAGGAGGATGCAGCCTAGAGTGGCTTAAAAAGTAAGTAATTTTTGCAATAAAGGTTTACTATAGACACGGACAGCCTCTCGCTCTTTCTAACCCCACGCTGTCCTGCGTCACCACCGACGCTCTTGTGCTGCCACATTCGAGTGAGCTCCCTACCTCCAACTAAAGCCACAGGAGCTGTTTGTGGGGCTCAGCCTTGCCTCAGCCACTGTACAGTGTGCCTCAACTCTCTGAACCTAGTCTCCCCAGGGAGAGATGGGGAAGGGGAGATTTGCACCAGGAAGCTAATGAGATCTCACTGCTTGGAGATTACACACGTGCCTCTAGCATCTGATTCAGGATGCCCTTAGCTGAAGCCAGAGCAGAGGCAGCTCCTGCCTGAAATGAGAGTCTAACCCTGGTTCAGCCACAGTCACTGCCAGCCGAAATGTTTTGAAAGCAAAATAAATAGTCACGAATCAAAAATGAGCAATACGGGCTGACTGCTGTTGCAGAGGACATTGGGTTTTGGTTCTCATCACCATATCAGGAGGCTTGCAACTGCCTGCAACCAGCAGATCTGACACCCTCTTCTGGCCTGCATGGGCACCAACACACGTGTGTTACACACATATACAGATCCATAAAAATAAAATAAAATGTTCAAAAAACAAGAGAAGATGCATTCTGGACCCTTACTTTTTAAAAAATGATTTTACTTTTAACGTGTTTATATGTGTGAATTTGAGCATGTATGTACAAGAACCTGTAGAGTCCAGAAGAGAGCATCTGATCCCGTGGGGCTAGAGTCACAGGTGGTTGTGAGTTACCTAATATGGGTGCTGGAAAGGAACCTGGGTCCTCTGCAAGAGCAGTAAATGCTCTTAACCGCTGAGCCATCCCTCAGGGTTGCTTTGGCCTCTTTCTAACAAACTCCACATTGACCCCAAATCAACACGACACATCATTTCTCAACCACCTGTGTGGCCGGACGTGGCTGTCCCCATCTACTTCTTAAGGTTCTTCCTGGCCATGTAAGTCAGCCATCGGTCACGCATACTTTCCTTCATCCATTCAACAAATGTTTGTTCAAGCTACTTCATCCTCAGCTCAGTGCCAGGAACTCATAGTTAAAGGCGGTCTTGGCATCAAACAATTCAATTTGATATGCATGTTTGGGGCAAGAAAAGGAAAAGATGACTTTGATTGTCCTGGTGGAAAGGGTGGTCAGGGACAACTTCTGCTCACAAATCCTGCCTGGTGACAGCCATAAAGCCACGAGAAGCGGCACCGTGTGTGGTTTTTGAGGCATGGCGTGCTGTCTTCACTTGTCATTTCTCACAAGCACACCCATGTTTCCCATCACTGTTCCAACACGAGCTTTACTGCACAGGAGAACAGGGGTCCTCTGTCAGGTGGGTAAAAGAAGAGGAAAAGCAACTTGGGAGGAGAAATAAAGAAGAAACAGTAGGTGAAAGGAGAGAAGAAAATGCTAAGGCAGGACAGCAACTCTAGATACAGGGACTGGGAACTCACTCAGAATGAGGGAACCACCCTTGTTTTCCACAGCGCCAGGTCAAAACTGTGCCCAGTGTCTCTGCATGTGTCGGAGCTTGACAAGAGACACGTCAAAAACATCCCCTTTGCCGAGTGTGGTGGCATACACCTTTAATCCCAGTGCTCCAGAGGCAGGCAGATCTCGAGGCCAGCCTGGTCTACAAAGGTTCCAGGATAGCCAAAGAAGAATCCGTCTGGTGTCATTTGTCCTCAGGGCCTAGAGTTATGCACTGTTCTTTAGTGTGACTAAAACCCACACTCAAAAATCTTCCTCCACGTTGGAAAATAATAGATATTTTCTCCCAACTTATTCTTCCCGTTTATTTCTAAAACCACTTGGCCGGGGGCATTATTATAGACCGCACATATTTAACAATACATCTTGAATTTGGAGATAAATACAAACCCATGAAACTATCACCACTCTCTATCACCACCAAAGATTTCCTCCAATACCCTTATTAATATTATTTTGTTTATTAACTCATCCTTATGCAGAGATCTTCCCTAAGCCATCTTTTATTT